CCTTGCAGGAAAGTCTGTGAGACTGTTATCTCCAATAAACTACTCAGAAAAAGTTGGAAATGGTACAGTGGCTCAAATGGTAAGAGCTAGCCTTGAGCAAAAGGCACTCAGGGACAGCAGCAGCCAGGGCAAGTTCTAGCCCCAGGACCAGAAAAAAAAAAAAAAACTAGGCAACAGTTATATTGTCACTGAAGTCCATTACATATACAGTAACTAGGCATTTATAATAAAATTATAAATATCTGACATTAACAACTTACAATAAATGATATAAAGGGCTATATTAAATTGTTTCTTTTTTTCTGACAGAGTCTCCATATTGTAGCCCAAGCTGGCCTGGAACAAATTTTTTTTTGCCTCAGCTCCCTCCAAGTGCTCACATGATGGATGTGTACTATCTCTGGTTCGCCCTCCTCAGGAGGCTGAGATCTGAGGATCATGGTTTGAAGCCAGCCTGAACACAAAAGTTTGGCAGACTCTTATCTCCAATTAACCACCAGAAAACCAGAAGTGATGCTGTGGCTCAGTGGTAGAGCACTTGCCTTCAGCTGAAGAGCTGAGGGACAAAGGCCCAGGCCCAGAGTTCAAGTCCCATGACCAACAACAACAACAATAGATACCATGGTGGTTGATCTTTTGAAATTAGTTACATTAGGTAGGGTTGCTAGATTTAGCAAATAGAAATGCAGGACAACCAATTCCATTTGAGTTTCCTGTAAACAATGGATAATTATTTTTAGCACAAGTATATCTCAAGTATTAACATAATTGATCACTGTTTACCTGGAATTCACACTACATCAAGTGCCTCGGAAATTAATTTGATAATCTTATTTATAAAAACAGGGAAAGCTGGGGGAGGAGGGGGCCGTGGCTCTCACCTGTAATCCTAGCTACTCAGGAGGCTGAGACCTTAGGATCACGGTTCAAAGCCAGCCCGGGCAAGAAAGTCAGTGAGACTCTTATCTCCAATTAACCACCAGAAAATCAGGTGTGGCTGCGTGGTTCAAGTGGTAGAGTGTTTGCCTTGAGTTGAAGAGCTCAGAAACAGTGCCCAGAGTTCAAGCCCTTTTCTTTTCTTTGTGCTGGTAATGGGGCTTGAACTAAGGGCCTGGGCACTGTCCTGAGCTTTTTTGCTCAAGGCTAGCACTCTACCACTTGAGCCACAGCTCCACTTTTGGCTTTTTTGGTAGTTTATGAGAGACAAGAGTCTCATGGAGGGGCTGGGAAAGTGGCTTGGTCGTAGAGTGCTTGCCTTGCATGCATGAGGTCCTGGGTTCAATTCCTCTGCACCATATAAGCAGAAAAAGCTGGAAGTGGCTCTGTGCCTCGAGTGGTAGAGTGCTAGCCTTGAACTGAAGAGCTGAGGGATAGTACCCAGGCCCCCGAGTTCAGGCCCCACAACTGGCAACAAACAAACAACAACAAAGCAGAGTCTTATGAACTTTCCTGCCAACAACAAAGCAGTCTTATGGACTTTCCTGCCTGGGCTGGCTTCAAATGATGATTTTCAGATCTCAGATTCCTAAATAGCTGGGATGACAGACATGAGCCACTGGTGCCTGGCTGAAAAAGTTTTATTCACTTTCCTTACTAAAAGCCGTCCAGAGTATCAGCAGGACATAAAGACTGGTTGGTCTTTCATTTCTGCTCTGGTTGGTCTTGGAACAGTTAAGGAAGTTTCCAGCAAAGTCCTAGAATTGGTCTGTCATGTGACCAGATCCTGGACTATTTTTAGGTTGAGGTAAATGCAAGAATTTTTCCAGGGACTGGGGAAAAGAGAGTCATATAGAAAATTGTAGAGAAGAGCTATTTATTTAAGAGGGGAAAGGAAGGTATACCTAAATACATAGCCACAGTAAAGGCCACTTCAAATACATCATTATTGGATGCTGATATCTCCCCTAACTCCAGACAAAGAAGGCAAGTATAAATAACGGCTTATTAACTGGAAGGAGTCAGAAGATGCTCTGTTTTTTAATGTGTTAAGCAAAAGCTAGGAAACCAGTCTTATAATAAATGATCTCCCAAGAATGAAGGGCAGATAACCTCAAAGTCAACACATCTGAGCTGAATGTGGCTTAGTGGTAGAGTGCTTGCCTAGCATGCATGAAGCCCTGGGTTCAATTCCTTAAGTACCATTTAAGCAGAAAAAGCAGGAAGTGGCGCCGGGGCTCAAGTGTTAGAGTGCTAGTCTTGAGCAAAAGAAACTCAGGGACAGTGCCCAGGCCTTCAGTTTAAGCCCCAGCACTGGCACACACAAACACACACACAGGCAAAACTAAAATGGTAAGTTACCTTGTCCTCCAAATTTCTCCCCAGTTCTTATGTTCATTCATGCATTCAGCATGTTTCAAAGTGGTCACTGAGTTCAGTCTGTGCTGGCTTTTGACACATACTCTTAGGCAGAGGACATATAGTCCCTGCTGTATGACTGCCTATTACCAAAATAAGCAATCAAGTAAACATTATTAGATTACTATAGATCTCTAATCCAGCTGGTATGCTGTTACTGGTTTACAAGGTGATTTTTTTTTTTGTTAGTTGTGGGTCTTGAACTCTGGGCCTAGGCGCTGTCCCTGAGCTTTTCAATTTAAGGTTAACGCTCTACCACTTGAGTTGCAGGCCCATTTCCAGCTTTTTTTTGCTTATGTGGTGCTAAGGAATTGAACCCAGGGCCTCATGCATGTGAGGCAAGTGCTCTACCACTGAGCCACCTTCCCAGCCCTACATGGTGATTAGGATGAGTAAACACTTACTATGAAGTGTCCTGAGAATAAATTTTTTGTTTGTATATGTGTGTGCCAGTTCTGGGACTTGAACTCAGGGCCTGGGTGATGTCCTTGAGTTGTTTTTTTTTTTTGCTCTAGGCTAGCACTCTACCACTTGACTCATGACTCATAGTTCCACTTCTGTTCTGTTTTTGTTTTGGGGAGGTGAATTTAATTGGAGATGAGTCTTAGACTGTTCTACCCTGGCTTCAAACCCATGATCCTTAGATCTCAGCCTCCTGAGTAACTAGGATTACAGGCATGAGGCACCTATGTCTGGCAAAACATCTTAAAAGAAAGCATTACTCACAAATCTTCCAATTTAGGGGAATACTATCAATGCAACCAAAATCTAATATCTGCAACTTGGTAAATTTCAGGTAAGTTTAGCAATGTTATGGACTTTTTCAAATTAAAAACTTGCATATTTTTAATTGATGATTAATCTTATTATCAAGTAATTTTGTTCAATAGGTGGGCTTCTGCTATGTTGAGTCTATTTTTTGTTGATAATCTTGGCTCCTTTTTTAAAATTTATTTTTCTTCAGACCATCTTTTAGTGGTGGTTGTACTCACTGTTCGTGTGCTATCTCGGGTTCATAGGATGCAATTCTTGCTAAATTGAAAGGGCAAAACTGACCCATACCTGCCTGTTTCAGTAGCTAATTACCATTTAATTGACAGAAGATAGTTTCTAGGAAAAGTATTACATTATAAAGGGGACTTCTGCCAGGCCCTGGTGGCTCACCCCTGTAACTCTAGCTACCCAAGAGGTTCGAAGCCAACAGGGGGCAGGAAAGTCCATGAGACTATTATCTCTAATTAACCCCCCCCCAAAAAAAAAAAAAAAAGCTAGAAGTGGAGCTGTGGCTCAAGTGATAGAGCTCTAACCCTTGAACAAAAACACTCAGGGACAGAGCCCAAACCCTGAGTTCAAGCCCCAAGAGAGATACACACCAACAGAAAGGGGAGCGGGGAAGGACAGACAGACAAGAGGGAGGAGACAGCGAACTTTTAACTGGTATCTGGTACGCTTCCAAAACACTAACCAATTTCTTCACTTTCTTCAAGCCAGTGACTCTTTTCCTACCGAAGGGCAGCTGCTTCTGGCCCGATAGCAGCTGGTGGTTTACAGCTGTAGCCTGGGAGCTCCACGCAAGACCTTTAAAAGGAGCTCCTGACTCCCACAAAATAAGACATGGCTATGTGCGATGCTGTGCCTTGCAAATACAAATGTGGAATCAATGAACTTTCTACTTCACAGAACTCTCTCAACTTGACTCTGGCCTTTCTGGCGGTGGGAGGGTATTTTGCAGGGCTTCACAAGTATACCAAGCACTTGCCACCATAGACTCGCGGCCCCAGCCCCTTGTCACTCCTTAATCCCCCTCTCCCGCCCCAGCTAGGTACCACTCGATTTCCTACCAGACTGAACAGTTCTGCTTCCTCCACCATCCAAGGGCTGGAGGAAGAGAATTAAGAGAACTGACCAGGGGCGCGGGGGGAGGGGGGGGGCGGGAGCTGTGTTAAAATGGTTTTGGGAGAGGGGACAGGTGTCCCAGGCAACCTTCTGCGCATGTCGAATCCTAATTCTCACTTCCCTTTCCAGAGTGACCCCCTCCAGAGGGAAGACCCGCACCCCAGCCAGCACCCCCCCCGCCCCGCCCACTGCCATCTCGAGCCGCGCCCGACCCCGGTCCCCCAGGTCCCGGCGCAGGGCCTGAACCCGCCGCAGGACCTCCCGAAGCCCGGTGATTGTTAAACTCATTCAACTTCGGAGCGCGGCGCGCTGGGGTGGCAGCGAGGCCGCGGTCCAGCAGCTCCGGGGCGCGGGAAGCGCAGCCGCCGCCCGCGGTCTTCCTCCAGGCCCGCCGCCCACTGTCTTCCGGCAGCCGCCCGCTCGGGGGAGGGGCCGGGGCGCCCGCGATCTCCGTCCGGGCCGCGGCGGCCGGCGGAAGGGCCGCGCATCACGGAAGCGCGAGCGCAGCTGAGGATCAGCTGCTGGAGGGGGCGGAGACGCCGAAGGCGGAGCCTCGGGGGAGGGCGGGCGGGGGGCCGGGAGGGGAGGGGGAGAGGGAGGGGGACCGCCGGAAAGCCGCGAACGCCCGCCACGGAGCGTCTCCACACCTCTCTCTGTGTCTGCCATGGCTGGTTAAAGAACCCTCGGGATCGCAGTCGGGGAGGGGGGGGCCGGGCGGGGGGGAAGCGGCGGCCGCGCGGGAGGCCGAGGGAGGGGCGGCGACGCGAGCGGCGGCGGCGGCGGCGGCGGCGGTTCCAGCATGAAGAGGAGAGCTGGCCTGGGGGGCAGCATGAGGTCAGTGGTGGGCTTCTTGTCCCAGCGGGGCTTGCATGGGGACCCCCTGCTCACTCAGGACTTTCAGAGGAGACGCCTGCGGGGCTGCAGAAACCTCTACAAGAAGGACCTCCTGGGCCACTTCGGCTGTGTCAATGCCATTGAATTCTCCAACAATGGAGGCCAGTGGCTGGTCTCAGGTAAATCAACCCCCTTCCTTCTCCTCCCCCGCGGCCCCGGCCCCCTTCCTGACTCCCTCCCCCCACCATCCCTGGCTGCCCCTCCTCGCCTCCCCTCCTGCCGTCCGCCCCCATCCCTCCCGTCTCCCTCACCCCTTCTCCAGCCTTTGGCATTCGGTGTCAAATTCAAACCCTTGCAGGGGAAGGGAGGGCAGGGAAGGAAGGGGTTGGAGAGGATGTCTTCTGTATGTCTCTCTATAAAAAGACCTAAAATGGTTGACAGGTCCTCAAGGCGCTTCACCCCGGGTGCAAAGTGGTCCCCTCCCCTCTCTGGCCGCCCGGGAGGTGTTGAGGGGGGGGGGTCGGGGATAGGGGCGAGGTTAGGCGCCTTGACAAAGTTGCACAGCAAACTCTTCCTCCGCGTACTTGAAAAGGTGCGGGGGGCTGTGTGGGAGATTTGGAGGGGGACGAGCCCGCGGCGCGCCCGAGGCCGGGGGCGGGGGGAGCTCGAGCCCCGCGTCCCTCCCCGTGTCATGGAGCTGGGGCCTTGGCTGGTGACAGGGCCGGACGCCCAGGAGCTGGGGCCGCGACCCCGGGGCCGGCGGGCGGGTCGCTGCGAGTCGTCCTCTTCCCCCAACCCCCGTGGGGCTTTCGGGGCCCAGCTCCATCTCGGTTGGCGCTGTCGGCCTCTTCCGCGTCTTGTTTTTATTGTGGTTCCGTGAGTGGCGACGGCGCGGGGGGCTGAGGGCCACCAGCCTGAACTTGAATGCGCAACTCGCACGGCCAAGTGGGGGGAGGGCGGAAGGGCTGCGGACCCCCGGGAGACTTGTTGGCGGGAGCCCGGACGCCCGCACGCCTCTTCTACCGCTGTTGCAGGGGGGTCCGTTTTTCTCCCCACGCCCGTCCAGTTGGGCCTGGTTGCCCCCAGCCACCATCATCCCCCCCCCCCCCGCCTCCCCCTCCTCCGGTGTGGGGAAAGTGGCGAAATCGAGGCTGGGGCTCCGGCCCGGAGGTGTAGGCCTCGCTCTCCCGGGGCTCCTAGCGACAGGCGGCTGAATCGATAGCCTATTGCTCCGGGGAGGCCCGGCCGGGGCGGGCGGGCGGCGGCGACCGCTGCCCCCGAGGGCGGGGGGGGGGGCCCTGCGCCTGCCGCCGGTGGGGGCGCTCGCCGCCGCCACCCCCTCCACCCCCGCGGGTCGCGGCCGGAGGCGAGGGCGGTGGGGACGGGCGGACTCGGGGGAGGGGGCGGCTCCCCGAAACCCAGCCGGGCGGGGGATGGGGCGTGGGGAAGGGCGAAGGCTGGCGATCGCCCGCGTCCCTGGCCCTCCGCCGGGGCTCTCCCCGCAGCTGGAGGGACGGCCGGCGAGCCCAGCTCCGGACGTGGCGCCGAGCTGCTCCCAGGTGGATCCCCGTGGCCTTCTAGGCTACGTCAGTGGGCAGCTGGCCAGAAACTTCTGGGATCATGGCAGTGCCTCTGCCTTCCCTAGTAGCCGGCGGAAGTGACAGCGGGCGGACTGTCCAGTTTGGGGAGGGGAAGGTACCAGAGTTGGGACATAAACCTTCAAGGATGTCTCCAGAAACAGACCCACTTTTCCACCCAGATTGTTTTCTGATAGTCCAAGACAGACCCTTACCCACACAGCTTCCTTCTCCCACATCATCACCAAATGCAATTTTATCTAATGAATTTCAAGATCAGCAGTGGAGACTTTTTTTTAAGCTCCTAATTTCCCCCCATTGCTGTTTCTGTACTTGAATTACTGTCTTTTGAGACTGATACATTACAGTGATGTTCCCAGACAATTCACCTTTTCCTTCTGACTCAAGGAATACAGGTACTCAATGTCAGTCCAACATACTAATGAAATAATGGCTCACACACTGCCCCTTTTAGCACATTAAAACAATAGACTTATTGGCTCTGAGTTCAAATGCACTGCCACCAAAAATAAAGTTAACTGGGGCTTGAACTCAGAGCCTGGGCACTCCTTGAGCTTTTATGCTCAAGGCTGGTGCTTTAACCACTTGAGCTACAGCTCCATTTCCAGCTTTTTTGCTGGTTAATAGAAGACAAGAGGCTCATGGACTTTCCTGCCCTGGTTTGCTTTAAACCACAATCCTCAGATCTCAGCCTCCTGAGTAGCTGGGATTACAGGAATGAACCGTGAGGGCCTGACAAGTCAATGTATTTTATCCTTTTTTCCCCATGTATTTTTTATGTATGTATGTATGTATGTCGGTCGTGGGGCTTGAACTATGGGCTTGGGCGCTGTCCCTGAGCTCTTCAGCTCAAGGCAAGAGTTCTACCGCTTGAGCCACAGCACTACTTCCGGTTTTCTAGTGGTTTATTGGAGATAAGAGTCTCACAGACTTTCCTGCCTGGGCTGGCTTTGAATAGTGATCTTCAGATCTCAACCTCCTGAGTAGCTAGGATTACAGGCGTGAGTCACTGGCACTCGGCATCCATGTATTTTAAAAAGCACTAACTTTTTCCTTTTTAAAAAACCAGTTATAGGGTGTTTGTGTGGCTGGGGAGCTAACTTTAGGCCTTGTGTTCCAGTTCTTCCCCTTTGCCCCCCCATACTCTCAACCCTAATATCTTTACTCTTGTGCAAGGTCTTCCCTTATGTTGTAAATGAACCCTGTTTCCTTTTTAACTTAATTTTAACCTGTAGAAGAGAAAGGTCCTTTGCACAGGGCAGGTTTTGGTCTAGGCAGTCACTTCTTTACTTTGCTAGGAGTTACCCATTTCCACCAGTAGTTCCTGGGTTCCAGTCTCTGTCAGCCTTGAACTTTTTCCTCTACCCACCTTCCCTCTCTTTCTAGCTCAGTTCTTCCGTTTTCTTTTTATCTGCACCTGCCCTTGTTTTAGTCCTTTCAGCAGGCTTTTCTGTTGGGCCCTGCAGTGTGGCAAAGATAGACATAGTTTTTGTTATTTGTTCCCAGAATATAGAGATTTGGTTAAAAGCTTTTTAAGCTATTCATCATTATGAGAACAGCTTGTGTTAAGAGAAAGTTCCTCCCTTTAGCTTCAGATAAGGAAGATCCTTTTGGAGTTGTAATATACTTTAACTTGTTAAAGCTAATTAATTTTTTTGTGGGAAATCCTTCAATAATCTTTCCAAAACTATCTGAAGTATCATGTTTACATTTTTCCTTTTTCTTTTTGTCAGCCATGGGGTTTGAACTCAAGGCCTGGGTACTGTCCCTGAGTTCTTTTTGCTCAAGTCTAGTGCTCTACTGAGCCCAGCTTAATTTTTTCTTATTAGAGTTCCTCATTAGCAATTACTACCCAAGGGAAGCACATAATATTTTGAGACTGATACATCTGTCCCCATTGTTCATGACAGGATGGTGGGATATCAGAGTCTGGAATAGTAAATAAACATATGAATATATGTATATATATTTGATGCTAACAGTCACACATTTTTTTGTTCTTATGTCTTCTTCGAATTGGTTAAAATCCTCAGAAAAGTGATTAAAATGATAAATTGTTCATAGTTCATTGTTTTCACGTACTGTTTGGCAGGCTTACATTTCCAGCAACGTGTTAACATGTTATTTGAGAGAATTAACTTAGATCTAGGAGAAAAAAAGTATGATTCCTCTGGCCACATAAGATGCTATTAGTTAAGCACATACCACTTTTTTTTTCTTTTTTGCCAGTCCTGGAGCTTGAACTCAGGGCCTGGGCACTGCCACTGAGCTTCTTTTACTCAAGGCTACCACTCTACCACTTGAGCCACAGGCCACTTCTGGTTTTTTTCTGTTTATGTGGTACTGAGGAATTGAACCCATGTATGCTAGGTAAACACTCCACCACTAGGCCACATCACCAGCTCTCCCCTCCCCCCCTTTTTTTTTTTTAACAGCTAGTCTTTCTCAAGGACAAAGGCCTATACATACCAAGAATAAACAGAAAGTCATCACTGATTTCTGGGCATGGTAGCACCATACATTTCAATAGGCTTAGCAATGCTTTTAACTTGTGTCTAATATACCTGTTGTGTCATACAACAGTGCTACCCTTTTCTGGTCAATAACTAAGAATAAAGCACTTACTATATTAAAATTTTTTTTGTGGGGGGGGTCTGGTCGTGGGGCCTGAACTCTGGGCCTGGGCGCTGTCCCTCAGCTCTTCAGCTCAAGGCTAGCACTCTACCACTTGAGCCACAGCGCCACTTCCGGCTTTTTTCTTTTTGCTTATGTGGTGCTGAGGAATCGAACCCAGGGCCTCATGCATGCAAGGCAAGCACTCTACCACTCACCCATCTTCCCAACCCCAAAATATTTTTATGTTTTAAAGTTTCAAGTACCCATTATGCCTCACTTGTTTCAAATGTCAAGGACTAGGAATGTGGCTTAGTGGTAGAGTGCTTGCCTAGCATGCATGATGCCCTGCATTAGATTCCTCAGTACCACATAAACAGAAAAAGCCAGAAGAGGTGTTGGGGCTCAAGTGGTAGAGCATTAGCATTGAGCACAGAGAGGTTTAGTGCCCTGGCCCAGAGTTTAAGCCCTAGGATTGGCAAAACCAAAACCAAAAATCAAATGTCAAGTGGTAGGTAGCTTGCTTGACATTTGAATAGTCTTGGGTTCAAACCCCAGTACCATAAAACAAAGCAAAACAACCAGGACTAGGGAGAAGTCCTCTGTTGGAAGTGAATGATAGAAACTAGTGTGATGCTAGTTAGGTTACCTTTCTAAACCCGTTTCCTAAAGTGTACCATGAGACTACCAGTGCTTACTTTGAAGAGCTGTTGTGAGAGCTATAATAGGCATAGTATAGGATTAGCAGAAGAGTACCAGGTTTCTTAGGAAACAGTTTTTTCTTTCCTTTTTGTGTTCATAACACATCTAATAGTGTCATTCATAGCTAACAGTTGTTCATATAGTATTGGTATTGGACCTTGTGAATTGGGCAGACTGGATAGTTCTGTGACTATCCAGATGTGACTTGAAGAGGCATTGGGTTGTGGAAAATACCCATGATACCAGGCCATATAATTTTAATGGGG